GGGGCCCTGGTACTCTCTGAACTTAGTTCCTTTCTTGAAGACATTTCATTACCCAACTAGGTAACATCATCAGTTCTAGAAAGGAGTGGGGTTTGCGGGGAGGAGGAGGAGGAGAATTGGGGGCCCCTGGTACTCTCTGAAGTTGGTTCCTTTCTTGAAGACATTTCATTACCCAACTAGGTAACATCATCAGTTCTAGAAGGGAGTGGGGTTTGCAGGGAGAAGGGAGAGGACTGCAGCGTCTTTGGTGGTCCTTAACCTTGGTTCTTTTTTTGTAGACATTTCGTTACCCAACTAGGCAACCTCATCAGTGCTAGCAGGGAGTGAGGTTTGCTCTCCGAGTCCTCTGAGTGAACATCAAGGACCCCCACAGTTGAACCCCGACCTACACAAACATCCCCTCGTATTGGCACACTTCTTATCGGCTGTGTTCTGCAGGTGGTACCATCCCTCCCTCCGAGGCCCTGGATTGGATGGCGAGGGATGAATGACGGGTGCTCTCCACCTCTCCTTGTCCGCATTGTGTCGATGAAGCCCCCCCCCATCTTTCCCGAGGTTTTCACCCTCCCTCAATTCCGAGACAGTGAGTGGCATTTGCTAACAGACGTTTCTCACCCTAAGGATGGATTTGATTGTGTTGCCAAGTTTTGTCAACGGGTGAATTGGCTCTCTAAAAAAATGGAGTAGAAGTGTAGCGAACGCACAGCTTGTGTTGTTCGGTGCACGAGGGCAGGATCTCAGGAGGAGCACACGGGAGGGAGCTGCTGTGTAGCAGTCACAAGCCTCGGGGTTTTTTCCTCCAATTTTCAAAACTTCCCTGAATGATGAGAAAATCCGTTTTCCCCCCACTATTGTGTACAAGTAGTTCGAGCTCCGTTTTCACTGGCAGGGGGTTGCAGGAGGCTGTAGCAGCTGAAACGGAGCTCGGGAGCCCGTTTTCGCTGGCAAAACACTCTGGCCACCACAGGTGCCCCCAACATGAGTGACATTGAGCTGGCCACGCCCATCCTGGCCACACACACCCTCCCCTCCTGAAGTCAGACACAACCCTGATGCGGCCCTCAATGAAATCGAATTTGACACCCCTCTTCTAATGCATTTCTGTGCATTATGAGCTCCGTTTTCACCATGAGCTGTGGTGGCGCAGTGGTTAGAGTGCAGTACTGCAGGCTACTTCTGCTGACTGCTGGCTGCCTGCAATTTGGCAGTTCAAATCTCACCAGGCTCCAGGTTGACTCAGCCTTCCGTCCTTCCGAGGTAGGTAAAATGAGGACCCAGATTGTTGGGGGCAAGAGGCTGACTCTGTAAACCGCTTAGAGAGGGCTGGAAAGCACTGTGAAGCGGTATATAAATCTAAGTGCAATTTCTATTGCTATTTCTAATGAACTGGAACTCAACTGAAAACAGAGACAGTAAGAGGCACCTATCCAAATCTCGTCCACCCCGACCAATGACCCAAAGCAAAGAACATGAAACCAAGAACGCAGTGATAGAGGCTTTTTTTTTTCTCTTTTTTCTAAAATCCATGATTAAAACCTGGTACAAACAGGTGAATATATAGATATATTTCTTTTAGTAGATGTATTTTTTTTTCTTCTTTCTTTCTCTCTCTCTCTCTCTCTCGTTATACAGCAAATATAGAATTTCTTTTCTCTCTGTACAATAGGACAGTTTTGCAATGCAACGTTCCGACAGATCCTTTCACCGCAAAAAATAAAATCTTAAAAAAATTTGCACAAATGGGACTTCAGGCGAGTAAATAGTCTAAAGTGGAAGACTCCATTTGCAAAAGGCCCAAGAAGGATATTCTTTCTTTTCTCTCTCTCTCTCTCTCTCTTTTTTTGTTTTGTTTTGTTTTTTTAACAACAACGGGGAAAAAAGAAAAGATCCTTCTGCTCACTTTTCTAACTGATCTCTTTTGTTCGGTTGTTTTACGTTTTGGTTACTGAAAGGATGAAGACAAAGCTGTACAGAGTCCACAAAATTCACAGAATAAGGAGTCATGCGATGCAGTTGTGGGTACGCCACACCTCCTTTCGTATTTTCTGTCTGGCTCTCTTGAAATTCTTGCGCTTCTTTCTCTCTGAAAATTCAATTTTATTCGTGTGTGTGTGTGTGTGTGTGTGTGTGTAAAGAAAAGAATTTGGTTTTTTCCCCACCCCACAGTTTATTTTAATGTTTAAGCATCTTTCCTTTCGCTCCTCTCCTCTCCTCGCCCCTCTCTCCTTTCCAAACCCCACCTCAGCGAGACCATCATATTGCTGTCTCTCGCTCTCGCTCCTCAGCCTGCTTTAGAATAATGATAGGTTCCTCAGAGTTCGTTTCTTTCTTTCTTTTAAAGATAAGTCTGGATTAAAAATAATAGCTGCTGCTGATTTTTCTTTTTGTTTTGTTTTTTTCTTTTGGTCCGTGGTTAAGTCACGAGCCGGCGGAGAACTCAAGACTTGTGCTGGGCGGAAACACCTTTCCAATAATCTAAGATGTCGTGCAGATCTTCGTCTTTGGCAAACTGGACCTTCTTACGCAGAGCGTGGCCGGCCGCCATATACTCCTCCTCCTCCTCTTTGTGCCGCTTGTGGTTCAGTTTGAAACGCTCCCAGATGCTTCTGGAGGGTTTACAAGTATATTCGGGGCTGGAGGTGTAGCTCAAGTTATGGTACTGTGGAGAGAGCTGCGAGTAGGCCAAGTCTCTGGGGCGGGGCCTGGTCAACGGTTCCAAGATGGAGGGCTTCCGCCCCCCCATGCCGTCGTGTTGTTCCCCCTGATGGGACCCTGGGTAAGAGTGCCGGTGTTCGCTGTACTGCCGGATCTTCTCGGCTTCGGCTCGTAAAACAGCTGCCGCCGGTGTCACAGTGAGGATGGTGTCGGTGGTCGGAGATGTCTTCTCGATATATTTGGCTTCTGACTTGTGGCCGGAGCCCTCGGAGCGGAAGGACCTGGGGCTCCGTATGGAGCCACTGGAAGAAGTGCTGGACCGTTTAGGAGGAGCCTCAATGCTGTGGTGCCTCTGGAGAGGGTGGCTGTAGCTTTCCTTGTAGACGGGCGCTAGAAAGCTATGCTTGCTAGGGATTTGTTCGGAGAGCAGCACCAGCTGAGGCTCAGCGGTAGACACCGCTCCCGACTTCACCCCTTGAAAGGAAGTAGATTCTGATTTCAAGGCATCGATGCAGTTGTTGATTATCTGGTTCACTTTGTCCACCTCTTTGGTGATGGTCGAGATCTCCGCCACGGAGCTCTGGCTATCTGGGGGCCTGGGCAGCTCCAACTCTCTCCTCTCGGGCTGTTCCCCCGTCCGCACTTCCATGTAGTTGCCCTTCGTAGCCTTGGGGGTCTCGCTGCTGTCAATCAGCTTGTACTGCTCAACTTCTCCCACAGAGGGCAGGTAAGGGATGCGGGTCATGGTCTCACCACCCAACATCTGACCTTGGGAGAGTTGGGAGATGCTGGTGGTCTCCATTTCTGGCCCGTACTTTAATTCAATGATGGTCTTCTTCATGTTCACCGCCGTTTTTTTGTGCTTTTCTTCCTGGTGACGCCTCTTCCGCAGGCAGTAGTACACAACACCTAGGACAATCACCATGCCAAACAGGCACCCCAAGATCGTCATGATGTAGTGGGTGGCAGTTGAAGGCCTGGGTATCGGCTCTTCGGGGCTCTGCTTGTTGAGATTGATGGTGAGGCAGGTGTAGTTGTACCTTGAGACTCGATTGGAGGACATCACACAATAGGTGTAGTTTTCGTTTGGGCCTAGATCCGTTAGCTCGATATCTTCCTTCTTCTTCAGCAGCTTTGCCAGGATATTGTAGCGGCCGTTCTCAAATTGGGCCAGGGTGTACATCTTGCTGTAGGGCACAGGGATCTGCACACTCAACACAGCCGAGTTTTGGGTCACGTGCTTCACTTTCATGGTGGGATACAAACCTGGATCGATCACCGGGGTGTGCAAGGAGATCTGGGGCGTGGTGCCATCTCCGGAGAAACACTCTTCCTCTGGACAGGGGCTCTCTGGAGGAGGGGTGGTCACAGGTTTTTTTTTGGGTGGGGTCAAGTAAGGTGGCATGGTGTAGGGGCCACCAGTGCAAAGAGAAGACAGCATGCCCAACGCATTGCGATATCCGCTCCGTCCTTGGCCCAGAAGGTAGTACCCGGAATAGTCGGGTGGAGAGTCACACTGCATGCGGTCGTAGGTACGTGTCATGTTGGTGAAGCCCTCAAGCCACTGAAGGAAGCCCAGGAGCTCGCAAGAGCAATAGAAAGGGTTGCTGTAGAGTTCGCAGACAGAGAGTTTACTCAGGCCCCTAAAGGTGTTGCTGTCCAGCCGTTGGATCCTGTTCATGGACAAGTCAATGTTCATGATGTTGGGGCACTCCCCGAAGGCATTGGGGGTGACAGTCTCAATGAGGTTGGCCTGGAGGTAGAGGTACTCCAGCTTCCCTAGGCCCCGGAGGATCCCCTCCGTCAGGTTCCTTAAACGGTTGTAGCCGAGCTGCAATACCTGCAGGTTGTATTGTCCTGAGAAGGCACCATCCTCGATATACGAGATCTCGTTCTTGGTCAAGTTGAGGTATGTGAGGTTACTGAAGCGGCTGAGGGAGGAGAACTGGACGCTCTTGATCTTGTTGTCGTTCAGCCTCAAGTCCAGAATGGTGCTGTTGATCTGCTGAGGAATGGACTCGTAGGGGGGCTGGTTCTGGCTGCAGATGGCCAGCCACACAAAGCCCTTCTCCCCTTCGATCAGCCAGCAGTCGGCTTGGACCTCGCTCACGTAGAGGAAAGAGACAGCTGCCACATAGGTGCACAGTGCTGATGTCATGGCCCACCGATGGCCTGCCATTGAGAAGGGCCACACCGAAAGGGGGGTCTTACCCTTGACCGGCCAGAAGAGGGGAAGAGGCAGCTCGGTCACGGCACAACCCTGCCTTGACTAGAGTTTCTTCAGCAGCTTGGTCATTCTTCCTTCCTTCTTCATGGTGCTGAACCATGAAGAAGCATCATGGACAGGAACACAAGGACGTGTTGGTTACACCAGGGTCAAGGTTTCCCACGGGCCATCAGCAAAGGCTCTGCGGCTGGGGAGTTGACTGCCTAACCATCATCTAAGAAGGGTTTGGAAGTCACTCAGAACACGAAGGGACCTGGAATGAAGAGGCCCCTGGTTCAGACATGAGTTTTGCTCTCTTTCTCTGCATTGCTTCTTCTGCCGTTCTTTTTGTCACTGGTCTTCATTTGAGTGTTGGGTTCCTTCTCCATCCTTTCTCTCCAGGTCTCTGTCCCTCCAGAGATGGGGAATCACAAGGTTGACCTGCCAATGAACAAGCAGAGAGACAACATCAGCACACAATGGGCTCTGTGCAGGTAGGAAAGCAGAGCTGAGGTTCCTCAGTTGGGAATCGACCAATCTTTCCTTCTAGAAGTCTATGGAGATAATCATCCAGGTCATGGATTTTCCAGAAAGCAACTGAACTTCCTTTATTTTTTTCTTGAAGACGTTTCACTTCTTATCCAAGACACTTCTTCAGTTCTGAAGTGAAGAAGCTTCTTCTTCTTCCTAAGAACTGAAGAAGCTTCTGGGATGAGAAGCGAAACATCTTCAAGAAAAACCAAAGGAAGTCCAGTTGCCTCTTGAAAAAGCATCTTTGGGACTTTCCTTCTAGTCCAGGGATCTCCAATCTTGGCAACTTTAAGACTTGTGGACTTCAACTCCCAGATTTGAAGCAAAGCTGGCTGAGGAATTCTGGGAGTTGAAGTCCACAAGTCTTAAAGTTGCCAAGTTTGGAGACCCCTGATCTAGACGTTGACTTCTGCCTACCCTCTCTAATTGCCCACCAAGTCCACCACCCCCAAGCATCTCATCTTCTCCAAGTTTCTGTTTTCCTTCTCACCCGGGTCAGTTTTTATCATAAATCTAGGAGCCCACTAGTGATAAAAAAGAAAGCACGGATGAAACGGTGGTGATCCTTGACACAGTTTTATCTGCCAAAGAAATTGAGATATTTTTTTTTCTCCTCCTCCGGTATCCATTCTGCTTGCAAAACCGATTGTTAACAAGGACCGGGACTACTCATTGTGGGTGAAATAATCAAAGGAGACATCTCTAAAATAACCCAGCAAACATATATTAACGATGAAGCCTCGACTAAGTGGCTAAATGTCCATTTTGTATATGTCAGGTGCAGTAAAGGTGCTTTAAGGCAGATTCCCCCTTAATCTTCTTCTTCTCCTCCCTCGTCCTTTCCCATTTTGCAAGCCCAGTTTCTAGCTAGACACCCATCTGGAAAAACCTGGTTAGAAAGACTGCAGAGCTGAATAATAGAGAGGCTCTCCGTTTTGACCTGAAATGATGCACTAAGCTGGATTTTGCATTATGCACCAAACTCTTCTCCCGGTCCTATTTTACGATTTTATCCTTATAAACTCCAGGCAGTTTCTCTGTCTCGCTGAGTCGCGTTGCGTACAATTTTGAGGAAAGAAGGGTGGGGGGGAAGAACTATGGGGCAGGTGAACAGTTCCTGGGAGTCACACCAAGAGTCAAGAGATGGCAAGACTGGCAGAGGGGCAAGATCTCTGTAGCTCAGGGTGGAAATGAGGGGTCCTTGGTGCTCTCTGAGATTGGCCGTTTTCTGGCAGACATTTTATTACCCAACTAGGGAACAACAACAGTGCTACAAGGGAGTGTGGTTTGCACACAGAAGGAGAAGGAGAAGAGGAGGAAGAAGACTGTGGGGTCTTTGGTGCTCTCTGAACTTGGTTGTTTTCTTGCAGATGTTTTATCACCCAACTACCGTATTTTTCGGAATATAAGACACACCTTTTTCGCCCCTAAAAGGGGGTGAACATTTAGGTGCGTCTTATACCCCAAATGTAGCCCCGCCCACCCACTGGCCCCCACCCTTTGGCCTCTGCCTCCCAGCAATTTACCTCCTTGCAGCAAGCAGCAAGAAGAAGCAGCTCCTTTCAGCTTCAGCACAGCCTAATTAGCACAAGTTGATTGGATCGGCCTCCCGACTCTCAGCTGTTTTGCTCTCAGCTGTTTTGCGGGGGCCTCTGCTGCTTGCTGCAAGGAGGTAAATTGCTGGCAGCAGATTTTTTTTTTCCTTGTGCTAATCAAGCTATGCTGAAAACGAAAATGAAAGTAAAACAGGCTGTTTGCTGTTTGCGGCAACGAGGCAAAATTGCTGGGAGGCAGATTTCTTTTTCTTGTTTTCCTCCCCAAAAAAGGTAGGTGCGTCTTATAGTCTGGAGCATCTTATACTCTGAAAAATACGGTAGTTAAAATCATCAGTGCTAGAAGAGAGAGGAGATGGAGGAGGAGGAGGACAAAGGAGAAGAAGGAGGATTGTGATGTCCTTGGAGCTATCCCAGCTCGGTTATTTTCTTGCAGACATTTCATTACCCAACTAGATACTGCCATCAGTGCTAGAAGGGAGTGGGCTTTGCTTTGCTCTCTGTTTACACACAGTTGTTTCTCTAAAGTTTTGTCCCGTATTGTTCTAGCAAGGCAACAAGAAAGAAGAGATTCTTTTTTTTTAAACTCTGAATTCGTCTGAAACCAGAAGGAAATCTCCAGATTTACATATGTTGCTCATCCAAATCTACGCCCATAATAAAATTATGCCCTCTTCCACAAAATTTCTGACAACAAACCTCTCTAGAGGAACCAAGATTGATCAATAATAATTAACGCTAAAGGGGTAACATCTGTTTTGGACAAACTGTAATGAGATTTAAAACCCAGGGAGAAGAGCTCTGCAATAATAAATGACTTGTGTGTCTAAACAGTTTACACACACACACACACACACACACACACGAGCAATTGCTGCTCTTTTTCCTTTCCTTTTTTTTTTTAGTGGGCCTTTTTCCCGGTTCTTCTTCTGTGCGATTCCTATATAATGATTGCTATTAATTTTCAGACTGGCAGATGGAGTCTAACTCTAACCTTGTACTATTTGAAATGAAAATCCATTTTCAATGGGTTATTTCTCCCCCCCCCCCGCCCTTTCTGAATAAGGCTTTTTGAAATCGCATTTGAAGGTAAAGGAAGGCTTACAATGCTAATCCTATCAGCGTCTTCTGGAGAGGAAAACCGATGCCAGAATGGTAGGGTGTTGTTGTCGTACCATCACAGGCATGGAGAATGGGAGAAGATGACCGGATTAGATAATCTGGTGTTTCTCAACCTTAGCAACTTTAAGATGAGTGGACTTCGACTCCCAGAATTCCCAGCCTTCATGCTTGAAGATGGGTGGACTCTGATTCCCAGAATTCCCAGCCAGCATGCTTGAAGATGGATGGACTTTGACTCCAGAATTCCCAGCCAGCATGCTTGAAGATGCATGGACTCTGATTCCCAGAATTCCCAGCCAGCATGCTTGAAGATGGATGGACTCTGATTCCCAGAATTCCCAGCCTGCATGCTTGAAGATGGATGGACTTCAACTCCCAGAATTCCCATCCAGCATGCTTGAAGATGAGTGGACTTCAACTCCCAGAATTCCCAGCCAGCATGCTTGAAGATGGATGGACTTCGACTCCCAGAATTCCCATCCAGCATGCTTGAAGATGAGTGGACTTCAACTCCCAGAATTCCCAGCCTGCATGCTTGAAGATTGGGTGGACTTCAACTCCCAGAATTCCCAGCCAGCATGCTTGAAGATGGATGGACTTCGACTCCCAGAATTCCCAGCCAGCATGCTTGGAAGATGGGTGGACTTTGACTCCCAGAATTCCCAGCCTTCATGCTTGGAGATGGGTGGACTACTACTCCACCCATTTTAAAACATGCTAAAGTCCCAGAGTTTCCCATGCTGACTGGGGAATTCTGGGAGTTGAAGTCCACCCATCTTAAATTTCCTAAGGTCGAGAAACCCTCCTCTAATCAGATGCGTTGTTCAGAGGGGGTGGGGTTGGCTCACCCCTTCCATCCAAGGGTCAGTGGAAGAAGAACCCTTCAAAGGAAGCTCCCTCACTGGCTCTCTGTAGGAGTCTCTGCTCAGGGATTTCCCCCTTTTATTCAGAAGATGACTACTAACTCCCCGAGAAATCATCAAGAATGAGATTCAGTCAAGGAAGGTCAGTCTGACCCACAAACACACACAATAAAATCTTAGCAGGCACCAGGACGAATGATGCATTCAAGTTTGAAAGAGGAAGGAAGCATCTCAGCTGGGTTAAGGCGACCACCTGCTCAAGTCAACTCCTACGTTTAGCCTAATGAAGAAAAGGCTCTGGGGAGACATGGCAGCATCCTCCAATACTTGAAGGGTTGTACCAAGGAAGAGAGAATTTATTTGTTCTCCATAGCACTTGAGGGCAGGACAAGAAGCAACGGGTGGAAGCTCATCAGAAGGAGATCCAACTGGGAAATAAGAAGGAATTTCCTAATTGGAGGAGGAGGAGAAGGATATTTAAGAGATTAACAAAGTTGGAAGGGATCTTGTAGGTCATCTAGTCCAACCCCCCGCCCAAGCAGGAGACCCTGCCTACACCATTTCTGACAGATGTCAATTCAGTCTCTTCTCGAAAGCCTCCAGGGATGAAGCTCCCACAACTTCCAAAGGCAACTTCTGTTCCATGGGTTGATTGTTCTCACTTTCAGAAAATTCCTCCTTATTTCCAGGTTGAATCTCTCCTTGGTCAGTTTCCATCCATTGTTCCTTGTCTGGCCTTTGGGTGCCTTGGAAGATAAGTAGATCCACTCTTCTCTGTGGCAGCCCCTCAAATATTGGAAGATGCTATCCTGTCTCCCCTGGTCCTTCTCTTCTCTAGACTAGGCATGCTCAGTTCCTGCATATGTTTTAGTCTCCAGTCCCCTCATTATTCTGGTTGCTCTTCTCTGCACTCTTTCCAGAGTCTCAACATCTTTTTTATGGAGAAGGAGAAGGAGAAGAACGATTAATCAGTGGAACCGCTTGCCTCCTGGAGTTTTGGACGCTCCATCATTGATGGTTTTCCAGAAAAGATTGGACAACCAGTCTCCTACCTTGAGCAGGGGGTTGGACTAGAAGACCTCCAAGGTCCCTTCCTGTGATCCTATGATTCTATGAGTCTACCCATTTTTAAAGTGGCAGTCGAAGAGGAGCAGGTGGTGTTCTCCAGGCGTAAGTGAGAAAAACACCAAGTTGTCTTCCTGAAAGAACAACACCCAGGGCTAAAATGTGTCTCGATGTTAGCACTTTTGTTCACCTCTTGGTATATTCCCCAGGTACCGTCAAAGAAACGGAGGTATCAAAACACAATCCTTGTTGACTCCTGCCTTTCCCACTTCTCTCCGTATCACCAGTTGTTGAGGACTGGTTGCAG